AGTCTGGGACCTCCTGAACACAATTGCAAAACGTGTTTTTAGTTTCACTGCTATGGTCTTATCTTCTCTGAGTCTTTTTTATACCTTTATTGTCTGTGGGGTGCACAGACTCTCTGGGTTTTCATTGGTTTAGATAACTTTAGGAATTTGTTCCACAAACTGTTGATTTTGGCCTGTCTTGCTGTGTCTAGCTTTTTTATTTTTTAAGGATATTGTCTTGCTTGTAATTGACGCCTTTGCTCTGCTGTTCAACCCTGCTGTGTGCTTTTTTTTTTTGGTCTGTCTTAACCTCTCTCTCCGATATGTCGTGTGTGTTTGCTATCTTTATAGACATCCTGCTAACGGCTTGCCTTTCCAGCTTTAACCTTTGGCTGCCTCTTTTAAGTTCTTCCTAACAAGCTTCCTCACTCTATGTAGTTTCCTCTTTTTACTGGTAAGCAGAACTCTGATAGATTATTTTTGGACCTTAATGCTTGTGGAAGGATGCTGACCTTTATACTTCATGGTCATGATACAAAGTTGTTTTTCAGGGATAAGTCTTTGGAAAAGATGTTGCATTTTGCTCTGGATCAGTTGGAGAGTTTAGTCTTTTCTTGTGAGATCCCCGATTACTCGCTCTGCAAAGCATTTGATGGTGTCTAAAAAACCAAAGCCTGTCCCCTGTCATACTGCGATATTTACTTGGTCTCTATGAGGATACCTGAAGTCTCTCAGAGCTGATGCATTTTTTGTCTTAATGACTCCAACATCCTTACGCGTTCAGTTACCCTGGACAGATGATATTTTAGTCCTAACTCTGTGCTTTTCCTATTTAGGCATAGAATTACAAGCCAGGCAATTTCTATGTTAATTTTAGATTTTCTTTAAAGTATAACCCCTAGTCTCCCATGACCCAGTCTATTCTGTCATTTCCTTACAATTATAAATATAATGTTAATTTAGTGTTTCATTCATTGTCTTCATTCTACCAAATTTTGGAGGTGCCTGGTACATTAATATTGTTTACCTTAAACATGATACCTGGGTTTTTAGAAACAAAAAAATACCCCAAAACATACACACAATAAATGGCAGCTCAAAATGAACTGTCGTAACACCAAGATACATCCTTAATGAGAACTAAAAACCTCTATAAGATAGTTTACTGTGAGGTATTCTGAATGATCACCACTTTTAAACTGTTTTAACTGTGAATATTTGGTGTGTCTGAAGAGTCAGGGAAATGCCTGCATGCTTTTAAAAGCATAACCTAACCATTGCATTTCATCATACTGAAAAAGAAATGTGGCCACATGGGTGTGCTTTTGGGGTGTTTACAGACAGTTGCTAAACACCAGTGCTTTTTCTGAAGTCACTGCATTTTTCACAAAAATAATAAACTGATTGTTTTCAACAATTTGAGAAGTGCTGTAGGGAAACCATGATATACTGGAGTTGCAACATTTGAAACTGGCTTCTGGAGCATCCGTACTGGATCAGGTCAATAACTGCATTAGCAATCCAGCACAAACATCTGTTAGGTATTAAGCTTTGTTTCTTGAAGGTCATTTTTGAACGGCTGGTTTTCAAATATGGAAGCACTGAATATATCAGTATAATTAAACTGATAGCTGTTGCCTAAATGAGACTATACTGCAGTATTTCTTAAACACACAGGAAGTAAAATAAGAAGTTTAGAGATCGGGTCAAACCACAAAAAACTTTGTATGAAATTTAGTGATTGTTTTATTTTTGAAGAAAATCTTTTCACTGTCATGTTTTGCTCCCCCTCCCCCCCCCTCCCCAGCATCTGCTTTGTTTTATTTAAGGAGGTACCAGCAGCAAGGAACACACTGTAATGCCAAAGATCTGTTGTTGTCTGCCTGAAGCCAATTTCCAGCTCTCCTGCGCTGCCCCTCTCTGTGGTGCAGAACATACAGAAATAGCGTTGATTCACTGGCTATGATTATCTCTATGGTTAGGGACTGGGGCTTGTTTGAAACATCTCTATGGAAAGAGACTATCTAATCATAGTAGTTATTTAATTGTGCCACTGTCGTATTTATTCTGATCTAAAGAACATACATTCATGATACTTCGAAGTTGATGGTGGTCCTTTTTTGCCTTAAACCTGGTGGATTGGGGTGGAGAATACAGAAAATAATCAGAAAAGCAACTCTGTGGGCTTCATTGTATATGGGATCATAAATGGGTTCTTTATGATACTGCCACATCTGGATGCTCCAGGCATTTTGCAAGGTGAATGGTAGGTAGGAACTTTTTGTACTGGGCTGTGGGCTGGACAGTAGAAGCTGTAAAAGTTCACGTTAGCTTATGGACTGGACTGCTAGATGGAGAGGAGAGTATGTAGTACCATCGGGTCCTTTTTTCCGACTTCTTTGTTTCCACAGCTCTTGTGTGCTGGTTATTTTGTACAGAGGGGTTGCTAACTGATGCACTCTGACCTCTCTTTCAGATTTTAGTTCGCAAACTTCCTGATGGCAGAGAACTCTGGGGGAGGATTGTTGAAACAGAAGCTTATCTGGGTGGGGAAGATGAAGCTTCTCACTCGAAAGGTGGGAAACAAACTCAACGAAACGCAGCAATGTTCATGAAACCAGGAACCCTGTACGTGTATCAGATCTATGGGATTTATTTCTGCGTGAATGTTTCCAGCCAAGGTAAGTTGAGGTTTAATGCCTATAGCATGGGGCTGATACTTCAAGCTATGCTTGCTGTGTTGTAGTCATGTCTGAGCTCCCTATGGGCTCTGTGAAGTCAATGACTTGCTGTCACAATCCTTCCTTGGGATCTGGGTTTTGGCATTGTGAACAGTATGGACAGGCACCATATTAACTTTGAATGCTACCAGCACGGCCCATCTCCAGCTGCACTGGGACCAGCCCGGTGGGATTTTCATCCCAGCTGTGAGCTATGTGAACTGTTCAGGCACGGAAATAAAGACCAAGGACTGGAGAAGAATCTTGACAGGATGGAGCTTTCAGTTTTGATGACCTGGGCTGCTGCCTTATTCATCTGATTCAGTGAACTTTGTTCCTCCAAAGTGGTGCAGTCTAATGACAGTCTGCATCTTGGTGTCTGTTATCGTGACAAGAAACTCTTCTGTCTCCTACCTTGATCTTCAGAAGCTGTAAATCTTGGGGAAAACAAAAGGTCTGAGATGTGCTAAGCTTAAGCAAGTAGGCACTGCAGGAGAATTTTAGCTGCTTTGCTGTATCTTAATACAAAAAAACCCAACCAAACAAAACCCAAATCAAAATACCCAGACTGTTACAGAATCTTCAGTCTTCTACTGTTCTCAAGATAATATAATCAACCCCTAATCAAATGATTCTGGAATTTACTGAGACTCTCCTTTCACAGCTCCTCTTAATGTGCAAGCATTACTTCTAAAACTTGGGGTTTTTTTCTTTCCCGTAAAAATGACAGCATTTGCCTTGCAATAAAGCTATTGGTTAATGAGACACCTTGAAATGGCAGCAGATATTTCTTAGATAAATACTCGTTTTGTTAAAAAAAAATTCTCAAAAATAATTCCTTTTCTTTTTTTGCCATTTCAAAGATACAGCTTAAAAAAAACCCCAAGAAACAAACCACTGCTTGTATCTTCCTAAGTGGAAAGCAAATGTAACAGTGACCATTAATCCTCAGGTTTTGACCTTTGGAGAGGAGCCAGGCAGAAAACCAGTGCCAGGTTATTCTGGGGGGGGAAGAGCCTGTCTTACTAAATGGAGGTCTGGAGTCTGGGGGATGAACATATGTGAATTTCATTAGATGGTCTCTGCCAAGTCTGCTCAGATAATGAAAGCAGAATGGTTCTTTATTCAGGATGGGCTTCTTAGTGCTTGAAATATTAGGAATAATATTTTTTTATTAAAAAAAAAGATGTTTGGCCTTTGAATTTTGAAAGATTTCTCTGAAATTTATACTTTGGGAAATTTTCCCTTACGTACCTGAGTTTAGTTTTGTAGCATATCAGTTAAAGGGCTTGCAGTTGTGATGGATTCAGTTGGATTTTTTGTTACAAACTCATTCTCCGTTGGCCTGTCATACATGTAGCTACGCTGCCACCAAGCACAGCTGTCACTGCCAGCTTTGTCAGGAGCGCACTGAAGGAACCAGCGTGACTGTGCATGTTGTGTGTCGCAGATGTATCTACATAGGTAGGATTTACTCCTTCAGTATCTTCACCCACGTGCAGATGCGTTGGAAGAAAGAATCTGAGGGGAAATCATACCCGAAGTGCTTTTCTCATCTTAACGTAGATGGAGAAGCAGCCTGTCCCGTCATTTGGTCTGAGAGAAGGATTGAGGAAGTTGTCTTTCATGGTGGTAGTTATGCACCTGTGTAGAAGGCAAAAGCACTTAATTCTCTGGACAAGGGACAGATCTTGGAAACCTTGTTTTGAATCTGGCTGCAGCTGTGCAGAAAACACAAGGAAACACTGGCAAGAAAAATGTCTGTTGTGTCTTAGTAGCACAGACCACGCTCTGTTTATAGCCTGAACTTCCCATGTAATCAATTTCATCATCTTTGTGCGGGGAAATTGACGCAAAATATCTAAGAGCTTCAGGGTCTCCTTGGGAATGCTGCGAAAACCTGAGGACTGCCCAGGAGACTATAAAAGAAATTTGAATATATTCTTTCTGAAGGTGTCACTTGGAAAGACTGAACGTAAATCACTGAGAGAACACTAAATGCTTTTCCTTTTCAAAGGACGCGTCTCCAGTGACGTCCCAGAGCCGCATCACTCTCTTCTTGGATTTTGGCAGTGCAAAGCTGCAGAGCACCAGGAGTTAAACAGTGGAGAATGTGGGATGATTGCATCTATTCCCATGTATCAGTTTCTGCCTCCTGTGATCTCCCAGGATCGTTCATATTCCCCTCTCAGCTGTCTTCTAAGCTGAAGGTTTCTACTCTACTCTAGTTATTCCTTCTTAGGCTTTTGCTCCAAAGCCAGTCCGTAACTTTCATCATCCCGGTTGCCTGTCCCTGAATCTCTTCGTCTTGTTACATCTTTCTGTAGGTGGAGGGGAGGAGCAGAACAAGTCTAGACATGCACACAGATTTCAGGGCAGCAGAGCAACTTGCATTATATGAGTAGTTGGAGTTTACATCTGGGAGTACTGTATGGTGTTGCTGCAGCAAATCAGAGCAGGGGAGAAGGGAAAGGGTCTTCGGGGGTTCCCTGATGTCTTCAAACACACACAAATTGACCCTGTCTTAAGCCATTTCAATTTTGACCCAGATGCATGTTAGCAAAGTTCATACCGAATGACATGAGAATTAGGGGAAAACCTGAGGTTGATTTCAGGAGAAATTGGTTCTAGAGATTTTCCAAATTACTCTTGAAAAATGTTTCTGTTTGGCCTTTGGGTGGTTTGTGTCAAAATACTCATGCGATCATACATTGATTTTTAACAAAGCATTTATTTCTGGAGATTGTTGGAACAAGCACATAGATTTAACTGAGATCTACTGTGTTATTAGGTGGTTCATTAAAGTTAGCACAAACTAATAGTCACAAATGAATTCTTAGCTGGCTTAAACTGTCTAGTTCTGTAGTGCAGGCAATTCCTTGTGCTGCTTAAATTACAGGATCCTTGTGGGCAAGCGGTTCGTATAACCAGTATATCTTCTTAAGTACTGGCAGTGACTGCTTTCCTGCTGCTCCTCAGATGCTTGAACTGAGTGACCGTCGAGCTGATTTGGAGGCACTAGCTTGATAAAAGCAGCCATCCTTTCACTGGCGAGAGATCAGAGTGCTGGACTGTCCCTGGGTTGCCTGTGTTTTGCTACCTTCTTGGCACAGACACTGCACAGGGCTGACCCAGACACGCTGGTGGGACCAGGCAAGCAGCAGGAATTGGACTGCTGCAGCAGACTTTGTTTTAAAAAGTAGTTTAGCACTGACTTGAATCATGCTGGGGCTGCCTTGGTCCCTAATCAGCTCAGAATCCGAGGCCCGTATGAGATGTGCAAAGCTTTATATGCTCCTGCTACTTGCTCCCTTCTGCTCAGCTTGTGAAGAACGGGGTATCTGGCCCAGGACTCTCTTGTTCTGACACGTAACCTTGTAGCATTGTCTGTTTCAATACCAGCTGGAATAAACCTCTTCTGTTTTCTATATTTGGCTTACGCTGGACTCAGGCTCAGCACTGTCACTCGGGGATAGGAAAAGGTGTGTCGCCAGCAGAGCTGTGCTGGCAGAGGTGCTTGGTAGAGCAGCGACAAAAGCACAGGTTTTACCTTGAGAGCCGCCACCACTGTAGTGTCCTCAGCAGTGTCCCCCAGCCCGGCCTGATGCTGCCAACAGACATCAGAAGCACTTCAGCTGTAGCCTGGTGTCTTGCCACTTTGCTGGGGCAAGCACTTGTGGCTGTTAGCACAGTCAGTCAAGTTCACCTGATTGTATCATTGTGTTCCTAAAACCATAATGAGCTGAAGGGGGGTCTCAAATACTTTTTGTCACCGAGGAAGGGAAATCTTTGTGCACATTGCTGTGAGATAAAGCTGCATCGTGTGAGATTTTACTGTGAGAGGTCTTCCCATCACTCGGTCAAATACTGCTACTGCCTAAAGCCATGGCGGGCATCACTACATTGGTTTTTTGGAGAAACAGAGGAAGAAGAGTTTATAGAAAAATATACCCAATGTCTTCCAGTGTGCATGAATCCTACAGTGTATCCTGGCAGCAGCACAATAATTTTAGTACAAAGAGCCTTCCTGGGGGTTACGAGGGACGTTGGGCTTCCCTCGCTTTGGGAAGAGGGTAAAGTGCCAGTCAAGTGTCTCTTTGACTTTGCTGTGATTTCTTTCTCTGGGATTTGCCAAGGTGTGTCTATTGCTGCCAGATCTGAAAGAATGGCTTACAAAATCGAGATCCCAGTGATGCTCTACCCAGGCCCAGGGTCACACTGCATGGACTTCCCCCTAATGTTCAGATCCTAGACTAGGACTTGGAAGGAAGTGTTTTGGGAGCAGTGAGTCAGACGGGTGGAGAGAGGAGAAAATTTTCTTCTCCCCAGTGGCCAAGCGCTGTTGCCAAGAATGAGAGCTGGAGCTGTTCCAGGGAAGAAGCAGCGAGCTGCACAGTGGGAGTGTGGGACTTCCCTATCATTTTATGATTTCTAGCTGTTCAGGGAGAGAATTGGCCTCTGTATTGTTAGATCCCAGCTTTTAGCTTTGAATGCTACTTGTTCTATGGAGTGACTCTTAGGCATGGGAGGTAGATATTCAGCGTCTCTGGTCTGGCACGGCTGCTGCTGGCGTGTCAGCAGCTGTATCCATGTCAGGCTGATGCTGACGCCAGATAAGCCCCGAGAGCGACCTGATGCAGGCTGCAGAAAGGGAGGAAGGCAGGCTGAAGCACCCTGGCAGGCAGGAGATGAGCCACAAGGATTCATCTACTCTTTGGTGGTCACAATAAAACTTCTGATGTGCAGGTATGCTCGGGAGGACCCAAACATCAGCCATGGGGTGTGGGGACAGGAAGGAGTAGAGAAGGCAGTAGTTCATCACGGCATCCCTGCACTCTTATCCTGCTTGCTGTCTCCACCTCTTCCCAAAACTCTTGTGGCCGCTGACTGAGAGCAGAGAGTGGTGTCTGCGTCGCGCACGGCTAGAAAGAGCGGGAAAAATTTCTGGTGGAAATGCAGAAAGAACAGCCAGAGAGAGAAATACCAGCTACCCCTTGCCCTGGCTCTGCGGATGCTCTGGGAGCACCTGCAGTTTCTCTGACTGCTTGTCTCTCTTCACATGAACTCCCAAGGACTCAGTTCAATTCAAGTCTAACCACAGTTCCCAGTTGCATTTGTGACGGATGGAAGCAAGTAGTGTAATTAGTGATTGCTCAGAATCCCACAGTTGTTCCTGGCGAGCGCAGCAGTGTCCCAGTGTGAAGGGTGTTTCTTTGTGCATGGATGAAAAGTAGAATTAGGACATGGAGCATGTTCTTAAAAATCTAAAATGACCTTTGAGCTCTAAATCACTGTAGTACAGGGAAGCAGCTTTTGGTTGCCAGATTAGCATCAATTCCCTTCCTTAGAGGAGGGAGTGCCTGGGAACAGATTGCTGACAGCTGTTGGAAGTAAGACTTCACCAACTGTGCCGAGGGCAGCAGGGACTCGGAGCAGGTTCAGGGCAACAGGCACACCTCGCAAAGCCAGAAATCAGGTCCTCAGTTGACACACTCAATTGGGAGCCCAGGAGGGTAACTTAGTGTAGGATTTGTGCAAAGTATGAGAGGGATTCTATTTTTGGAAATCGCAGGTCCTTAAGGATCTGTAAGTGCCAACAGAGAAAGCCTTTGCCAGGCGTGAGCGTGGCTCCAGATGTTTGAGGCTGGAGAGGGAGAGGGGATTTTTGTGCAGCCGCAGCACCGAGCACACAGATGCTGGCGGGGAGGAATGCTGTGGGCGGCCCCAGCACAAGGGGTGCTGTGTGGGGCAGCACACAGACTGCTTCACCAGGCGCTCTCCTCGCCCACTCAAGGTCATGAGAAGACCTTCCTTGCTGTCCAGTGGAAAATACCAAGGAAATGTTTATGTCCCACTTAGGCTGGAGATCCTTGTCACAGGGGAACGTCTGTGCTCAGAGTCGCATCTTTGCTTCACTGTCACCAAAATCAGGGAGGGCAGCTGGTCACAACAGCTGTGGGCGGCTGGAGTTTCCTAAGGCTCCTGACAGGGTGGCAGATCACATTTGAGAAGAGAATCTTTCCTTTTTCTTCACTTCTTGTCATAGAAGGGTCTCTGCTGCACTGATGCTCCCAGCGCCATGCATCCCACAGCCAGACACAGCGCAGCCCTGTCCTCCCCCAGCTCCCTGCCTTGCGAGAACTTCCCTGGCACAAGGGTTCGGGTCACTCTCCATTGCAGCTATGTAGTTACCCAAAGCCACGGCCATCCCACCTGCTGCTACATCCCCAGTTGCGTGTTTGAATTAGTACCGCCTGCAGGCAGGGCTCCCTCAGCAGCAGCACAGACAGCGGCTGCTCCCCATGCCTGCGGCTCCCTCCCAGGTTTCTCTTTGTCCAGCCCAACTCTGCAAGCTGCCTCTTTCTGCTGGCAGCATCCGGACTCATTCCGCCTCTCCTTTGTTAGCTGGAGTTCTTGTAATCAGAGTTTATTATAAATCCACTGGGGTTGGGAGCAGCTTCGGACAGCCATGCCAAAACTGAACCATATGTGTATTTATTCCTGAACATTGTGCTGACATAAGAAAAACCTCTTGCCCTCTGGCAAGCCTGGGAGCAGCAGCTAGACTTAGTAACATCAAGAAGTGGGGTTGGGGAAGAGCAAGTCAGTACTGATGACTAAAGGACACAGAGCTACGGGGCACAGGACATTCAGAAGAGGGAAGGGAGTGCACTGACCACGGGTTAGTGGCTGACTCCAGAGCCTGGCGCTTGAAGCGAAGTCGCCCGAGAGAAGGAGAGACTGCGGTTGGGCGCTGCAGGCAATTCCCTGCTCCAACAGGCTAAGCTGAGCCACGGGCCCAGAGCTGAAGTGCTCCTGCTAGCGGAGGGGCTGAAAGCTGAGATGTTCTTGACAAACAACCCTGTACTAACACTTGGTTCTTGTTCTGCACAGGGGAAGGGGCTGCAGTCTTACTTCGCTCTTTGGAGCCTCTTCAGGGTTTAGATGCGATGAGAGAGCTGCGCAGCGCTTCAAGGAAAGGACCCACAAAGCCGCTGAAGGACTGGCAGCTGTGTAATGGGCCCTCCAAGCTCTGCCAAGCATTTGGGATTGATAAGGCTTTTGACCAAAGGGACCTGACTCAAGATGCAGCCATCTGGATGGTACCTGGACATGACCTACCAGGGGAGCAGGACGTGATAACCACAACAAGGATTGGTATTGGCAACAGGGGAGAGTGGGCACAGAAACCTCTCAGGTTTTATTTACGAGGAAACAAATTTGTGAGCGTTGTAGACAAGAAAACAGAGAGAGAGATGGCAGCAATGGAACACTTCTCTTGCAGCTGAAGAGTCTTGCAGCTGTGCCACTGGCCAGGACTTGAGCTGCACTCTGTATGATAGCCTCGAGCTATGGCATGGCAGCAGTGAGGGTAAACATAGTACCATGGAGGTTTTTAACAATAAATGTACTTTATCACAATGAACGAGGAAAGGTGGAATTTTATTTGTGGGACAGAGTGGCGTGGGTCTCACTGTCAGAACTGAGGCTGGTTTTGGATGATGAAGGCCACTTTCTCCCTTGTGAATTGATCCAGGCTCAATTAAGGTGGAAAAGTGATGAAGATTCACAGCTCCGATGTGCTGTGCTGCTCTCATCACCCCTTGGCCCCAGTAGAGGCCATCACTTGGTTGCTGCAGGGGAACAGTCAGCAGACTGGATGTCAGCAGAGCTGACTTAAAGGATGGCAGCTGGGTTTGATCAGCCTGGGGAAGAGGAGGTAAAGGAGGGACCTTAGTGTTGTGGACACCTACCTAGTGGGACAGAGTAGAGAAGACCGGGCCAGGCTTGGACAGGATGAGAGGCAATGGGCACAAGCTGGGAAACAGGAAATTCTCATTAGCTCTATGGAAAAAATTTTCACCATGAGGGTGGCCAAACACTGGAACAGGGGCCCAGAGAAACTGTGGGATCTCTGTCCTTGGAGACACTCAAACCTCCACTGGACAAGCTCCAGAGTGACCTGATCTAACACATTTTCTTTGAGCAGAGATTTGGACAAAAGACCTCCAGAGACCCCTGCCAACCTATAGCAGCCTATAATGTCCAGCCTGGAGAACAAGAATGTTTGTTGTTTGTGTTCTCAGCTGCTTTTGAGACCGGTTCAAAACTTACCAGTGTGTGAACCCCAACACAGAAAGCACTGATGCTGACACTTCTGTGATGCTGCAGCCTACCGTGAGGTACAGGGGGAAAAAAAACTCTAGGATTTAGGGCAGAACCTGTAGAACTGCAGCCACACTGGCAGGCTGAAGGGTGACAGGGACACCCCCTGTCCCCTTAGGATTCACATGCAAGAAAAAAGCTCAAGTTTTTCAAAACCCTTGTCCCCATCGCATGAAAAAAACCACCTTCTTTGGCCCCTTCTGAACAGCCCTTGTTATGCTGATCTCAGTAGCTCACCTTGAGATGCAGTTGCTGGGGGCTGGTTGGGGCTGGGGCCCTACAGCAATGTTGATCTGATTTTTAGGTTGGGCATTGCTTCTGCTCTTCCATAACATCCCTGCTTGCAGCTGCGGGGGATGACTCACAGAAGGGACCCCGAGTAAGTAGCTGTCATCGGGTATCTGGTGCCCTGTGGACACAGTGCTCCCACGGCGTGACTGTGCGTTGCTGATGGTGGATAAGTTATACAGAGCTCACAGTTTCATCCAGTTTGTGTGGGCACGTGAAGCTGTTCTGTGAGAGCCTGCAACTCTGGGAAGAACTCCAGCTTGTCTGTGTGGTAAAAGGGAAAGTTTTAAGGAGGAGCCTGCTAAGTCTTTTAACAACACACACCCCTTGAAGCTGCCACCATGGAGGTAAGCATCTCCCCCCCTTCCCCAGGTACACAGCACAGAGCAGTGAGCAGCTGGGGGGGGCTATGGCCTCACACAGGCCTGGGGTGAGCTGGCACAAGCTTCTGCTGTCCTCAGGAACAGGGCTGTCGCCTCTTGTTCTAGCCCTGGCCTGGCTGGAGGAGAGGTCCTGAACCAGATCAGGAAGCACAGCCATGTGCAGACCCGTATCTTGTTTTTCAGCTGGAAAGCTTTAACCCAGGCTAGATTCCCAGTCTGGTTCCCTGCAGCCACAGCCGTGCTTGCAGGGAGGGGAATGGAGGAACAAAACAAGCCCTGGGGGACAAGTCTGAGTGCCCTCAGCACCAGCCTCTGGCTGCATGGAACCCTATGTCCGTGCACTTGCCGCTTCGCCAGCCAATTTCAGTCCTGCTCAACAACCAAGATCCCTTCCCACCCCCAGTCAAAAACTGGAAACCCTGCAACCCCACAAACACATGGCTGCTTGGTGACAGCCCTGCCCCAATACGTACTTAGTAATAAGGACACTGGGGAGAGGAAATAGTAAGCTGTAACACAGTGAGCAAGTCATTCTCATTCATGAAATTGTTTACTTGTGATACTTTGCCTTCCTACCTATGTCCTCAGTGCTGCCAGATAACGGTGATCAAACAGAATTCCTCGGTGCCCAGGGACATTTCCCTCAAAGCCAGGCCAACTCCACTCTGCCCTTGAGCACAGGCCGTGGGGCCAGGCTGCTCATGAGCAGCGTTGGCAGCAGAGTCACCCAGCAATCGTGTTGTTGAAGAGCACAGAAAGCACTTCTGATGCACCAGCATCCATCCAACGGTGAAGTACTGTCAGCAAAGTTGCAGTGGAAGTCTTGGCCCACTCCCACAAGCCCTGGGGCGGGAGCAGGCTCAGGGAAGAGCTGTGAACCGGCAGCTCCCGTGCTGTCAACGTGGTGCCGCAGGAATCCAAGCTGAGCAAGCGCACGCTGTCCTGCAGCAGTCCCCAGAGCCCTCGCACAGACTGTCCTCAGCTGTCACCACAGGGAGCAGATGGGAAATTGAGGCACGGAGGGGGAGAACCTGCTGTATGTCACGTGGCAAAAAGGAATTGAATTCACCTCCTTTAGTTTTTAGACCTCTTTTAGACTATCAGTATCAAGAGTGTAGCCGTTTCCCTTCTCCTTTGCCAGTAGAGTCATTTTAAGAGGGACTGAAAAACTGAAATCACGGGGTCCTCGTGGCTGGTCACCACCAGCACGCTGCGGAATTTGTCAAACAGCATCAGCAGCTGGGAGCGACGCATGTTCTCGTTGTACATGATTTCCTCCAAATGGTGCCGGCCTCGGAAATAGTGCAGCAGCCTGAGGGGAAGGAGAGCAAGGGAGGCATGTGGGCCAAAAGCAAGTGCATACAGCAAGAACTGATACTGTCACCCTCAAGGTTTCCTCTCCCATGGGACATAAATTGGAAGGCATCTGGGTTGCGTCCCTCATTTACGTGAAAAGTGAATTAAGTCGGTTCTTACCTTAAGCATGCCTAGTGGAGACATCCCCTGGAAAAGCAGGGGACTCCCTGGCCTCGGAGCTTTGTAAAGGTTCTCCATCTATCAAAAGGTTTCCTAGCCTGGCACGTTTCCTGAGAGTGTCAATTTTCAACACAGCTTGAACTCCAGAAAGCAAGGAACCACAAGTGCCAAGAAGCCTTGAGAAGGCAGGACGTGGCAGATTTACTTGTGCCCTCTCTTGGCTGGGTCCACACTGCCCTTCCTCACAGCTCTGCATCAGAGCCCCGGGTACCTACACCTGCTTTTAGAATTAAGAGCATATTTTCGATCCCAGCAGCCCAAAGGGTTTGGTAACTACGGGTTGCGCACTCTTGAGGTTTAGTCAGCTTGGGGTAGGTGGAGCAGTTACAGCAGGGAGATGGAAATTTTGGTGACAGGCACCACAGAGAAGTTCTGGGAGTTAAAAAACCCCCAAAGACCCCCAAAACCCTGAAATTCTAAGTTTAAACCACACTGGCTTCTTAATTCCCAGTTCTCTTTAAATAGAGGCAGCACAGATATCCCTTTGCCGGCCACCAACATGCTACAGACAGCAGATGACCTCGGCCCTGCACAGTCACAGCCAGATGTAAGACAAACCCCTGCAGCAAGTCCCCGCTTGCTGAGGACCTGCTCCCCAGGGACCCTTCAGAGTTGTAAGACCGAGGCAGTCCTCCAGACGAAGCTCGAGTTTGCTGCTCAGTCTCTTAATTGTCATAACAACCTCTGAAACACAGGAACCATTCTGCACATGTCACTCAAGTACTCGTACCCATCGAGGCCCAAATGCACATGCCAGAATCACTTCCCCAGCTACTCAGATGGACGTGTGTCCGCATGTGTTACACATCACACTCTGCTCTGCGCTTTGGCAGCTTTTGCTGGTGTTTCCATACCCATCTGCAGCTTAGGGATATGCTGGCCTGCTGCTTCATGCCAGCTGCCAGTAAAAATGAGTGGAGATGACAAAATCTGTTTTCCAATTCATTCATACAGTCTCCATGCAGGAACAGCCCTTGAAAGACACCAAATATCTAAAAAAAAATCTCCGACCATTCCTGCCTATTTTCACATGACAGTAGGATGGGGCCTCTCATGCTCCCCCTGAAGGACTGACGCTTGCCTGGCTGTCTTCTGCTGCTCAGGCGAGGCACTCCTGCCACCCATTACCGTTCACTGGTGCCTGGAAAGGAGTCACTGGGCAAGAAGTCTCCCTCCATCACACCCTTGCTCTGCACAGAGTAGGTTTTACCTCCAGTTCACTGCCATTTGTGTTTCTCTGCTTCCCGATTTGCCATGTCCCTCCTCCCGCCCCACTCTTGTTCCCTAAATGTAAGCCCCCAGCACACTGCAAACTCCCTTCTGCTTCCACGTTCATCTGCCAGCTCTCAGATTGGCACCGTTACGGAGAACATAATTGTTACCTCTCTGTACCTGCAACACAAACAAACAACAGATGGACAAGCTCCCATCATATTTATCTTTCCACTATTTGGGCTGTGCATTTGCCTTTTGCAGTATCTCCCACTAGGTATTTAAATCAGGCTAATTGGCTTCCTCCTTCGGGCCAATGGCAACCAGTGTGCACTGAGAAGTGGCCATTAGCAGGGGCATTGTGGGTTTGTCTGTGCATGTGTCAAAACCAGGCTGTTCCCTGAGGTATTATTAATAGGGAGTTTTCTATCTTGTAACTTGTATTACTGTTCAAAAACTGATTTTGAAAGAGATTTTAAAAGCTATATATTCTCTCCCTTCCATAAAGCTGCTCACTGTGATTGCCCATGCGCTCATCTCCTGGCACAGCTGTCTCCTGTGCAAATGATTACAACCTAGCTTTCAACAGCAACGCAGACTAAGCAGGAGTTTTCCAATAAATAAATCCATCCTATATTCAAAAAGAGTCTGGATTTGTAACTGGTCAAGATGAAATACTTTCCACTCCAATAAAAGCTAGAGAGGATATTAAAGAATATCACAAAAATGCCGGCTGGAAGACGCCTCCAAAGTCTAGTCCAGCATCCTGCTCCAGCAGGACTATTGCCAATGCTGTAGCTTTTTCTAGCCAAGTTCTGAAAC